GGTAGCGAAGGGGTAGGGAGAGACTAGTCCACCTACTCAACCTATGAAGAATAATAAATAAATAAAATCACATTACTTAATTGTAACTTATGTGAATCATAAAATTCTGAAAATAAAATTTCTCCAATACAACGTGTATAGAAGAAATGTAACTGTGACATACATACAAACATCACACGTGAGTAAAATCAAACACCCAAGTCATAAAAATTTATAAAAATCCAATTTTGAATCCAAAATCCAACTTTCCACACATCATAAATACATGTACCCATACATTATGTACCAGAAAATTATAAAAACATAAATTTTCCTCAGTTTTATTATTATTTGGCATGTGACCCTGCAGAGACTTTCACCCCATTTTTGAGCAACGTTAAAAATTTATAAAAAATCTAATTTTGATCAAAATCAGCTCAAACTTCTACAAAACATAAGTAAATGTAGTCTTGCATAGCCAGACCCAATTTCCTTTTTAATAATTGGAGGGTTAAAGTGCTTGTATATACAACTGTACATGAATCAGGAAAGGTATCGTGCTAGTATTAATAAAGCAACTTCATAAATTTACTTTTTTTCTGGTCCTGGTCACTTATCAGTGTTGAGTGGTAAGAAATTCAAACATGAGCAGCCTACATCTTGATCCTCACTAGTCAGTCTAGCTAAGGTCCATTGGTCTACATTCATTCCTTTTCTTTATCTAGCCACGCCTAGGCCCACGCAGCCCACGTGATACCACGTGTGTAAAATGGTGTCTATCTCACAGAATATGAGACTTTTGTTTGTACCCCAAGTCCGCAACTAGCACCAACTAGTCATAGGATTAGGGTTCCTATTGTGTTTTGGGGGCCATCATCCTCCAGTACACGATATTACCAGTATAGGGCCAGGTACAGAGCTTTGGATTTTGATACTGACTATTGGCTGTGTATTTAATAGGACAGAGGAGGATAAAGGAGGAGCTACTGGTACTAAAACGGGGCAGATTTGTATCTGGAACTTATACAGGAAGAGAATCGACGGAAAATTTGTGGTTAGACCAATTATCACTATCACTTAAAAGTCATTATGTATCATGTTAATTAATGCCCACCACAATTTCCAATTAATGCCCATCTTTTTCTAGTTATGTCAGAGACTATTATTACTAGGAATGCAGTCTGGAGACAGGGACAGGATTGTCAGTCTTAATAAAAATGGGTGCGTTGATGTGGTAGGAGTGTGGCTAGTTATTAATGTTATATTAATAGTTGCATAGCATTGTGGGATGGTAAAGATGGGATGTGTCTTAAGACTGTTAATAATCTTGGAAATGGAATGCATTATGGAATAAAGGTAATGATAAAATTAATGGAGCATTATGTAAATCAGGGTTTCCCACATTAAATTGTGATAATATTGTGATAATATAATAATTGTGATAATATATTTTATATATTTATACTTTCTTGTTCTTTATTATCATTAGCTGCAGGTGTGGAGTCTATCATTGGTAAGCTTCATTGAGAGGAAGGTTCTACTGCTCCTGATTTCAAGTCTCATTTCACTGGCTCTCTCTCTTATTCATGGCAGTCCCCAGCCACTCCTTGTTCCCTTATTGACTCAGTTGTCAGTTATCATATTCCTGGGAATTCCCAACCATTGCAATCATTACATGCTCAATGGGACATGGCCACAAATTGTCAAATTGAAACCTGCCAATCAACAAAATTCACCAAATTACTCCCTCCAATATTACCAGCCTTACCTGTACATGTACAATGTGTTGTACCCTCTTTTTCAACCCTCCACCTCTCTCATTCTTT